CTCCCGCCCTCCCAACATCCAGTCCGGGTGAGGAAAGGAGAAGGGAAGAGCTGCTTTTTGTGCACTTTAGCATTTTTGTTATTAACAAGGCATACAAGGCAGTGATCCAACACTTGCCCTCCACGGGTTAGGAAAGTGAAATAATGTGGGGGGTCTTTCTACAGCCTCAACAAAGTGGGGGGCTCGGACACCTCCCCCTGGTCCAGTAACGCTGCTCTGGCTCCAGGCACTTCTGCAGGAGCTGCAGAGCCGTCCCATGTTCTGGTGGCTCTCAGGGCTAGTGCATCCTTCGTTGTCCACCTCCTCCCGCCTGGACCAAACAGCAGGCATTTCCTGAGCACTTGTCCCAGAGGAGGCTGCCAAGAACACGAGGCTGGCCAGTGGTCAGTGCAGCAGGAGGCAGGGCCACAGAGCCAGGCTGGGGAAGGGAGGCCCGACTCTACGAGGACTCAGAGGTCCACGAGGAAACTCAGAGTGGTCCCTGCCCCTGGGGACCTGGCGTCAAAAAGGAGACGGGCCTGAGAGGCCCCAAGCCATCAGAGGCCCAGGAGACAGCTCTTGCCTGGGTAGCTGCAAAGCCGTAGGTTCTGAAATGTGGTCTGGGGACCAGTAGCATCAGCATCCCCTGAGGACTTGTCAGAAATGCAAACCCCAGACCTACGAATTCCAGGCCTGCTCATCAGAAACCCTGGCGTGGAGCCCAGCAAGCTGTGTTCTAACAATTCCTCCAGGTGGTTCTGATGTCCATTCAAAGGTGAGAACCACTGTCTCAGAGAAAGGGCATCAGAATCGTTTGCGGGATTTAAAAAAAACGCCCTGGCTGGTTTGGCTCAGTGGATAGAGCGTCAGCCTGCGGACTGGAGGGTCCCGGGTTCGATTCCAGTCAAGGGCATGTGCCTTGGTTGTGGGCACATCCCCAGTGGGGGGCGTGCAGGAGGCGGCTGATCGAGGTTTCTCTCTCATGGATGTTTCTAACTCTCTATCCCTCTTCCTTCCTCTCTGTAAAAAATCAATAAAATATATTTGAAAAAAAAAAATATTCATGCCTCCCCCAAGACTCGGAAGCAATGGTATTTTTAAAAAAATATCTTTAGCCCTGACTAGTAGGGGGTGTGCAGGAGGCAGCTGATCGATGTTTCTCTCATCGATGTTTCTAACTCTCTATTCCTCTCTCTTCCTCTCTATAAAAAATCAATAAAAACAATAAAAAATATT